CAAGACGCCCAAGATGGCCTCCAGACGGCCGTAGCGCCAACAAACCGCGGGGAGACTCAGGAGGCCCTCCAAGAGCCTGAACAAGCAAAAACCTCCCAGGCATTCGTCACCCCAGGGCCTCCTGGAACGCCCCGGCGCCCAATGAATTGGCGAGCTAAAAACGTGCGCCGAGCCAAAGCAGGAGCGTAACTTTGAGAAAGTTTCGCTCGGCGCCCAAGCGAGAAGGTCATTTCATTCACTTCGAGCGGGGGGGGGTCTGCCGCGCCCAATTCTTGCCATGCATTTTTGCGGGGTGGACGACAAGAACAGCTATGTGGGCAAGCGAAAATCAGCATGGCAGTGCTTCTCACAAGTAAGGTGGCCCTCCCGCCTTGGGGTTGCCCCAGAAGTCCGCGCGCGATATGGGCCGCGCCCCACTCCTGCCACGCATTTCGCATCGTCGACGACAAGACAGGCCATGATGAAAGGAAAAACGGCAACTCTGTATTGTTTTTTACAATCAGGATGGGAGGGCCCGCAGCCCGCATGGACGTCCGCGCGCGATGCGCGCCGCGTCACACTCCTGCAACGTATTTCGCACAGTCGGCGACAAGGCAGGCCATGCTGAGAGGAAAAAAAAGAGACTTTGTATTGATTGTTAACAGTCAGGATGGGCGGGCCCGGATTGACGGCCGCGCGAGATGCGCGCCGCGTCCCATTCCTACCACATATGTCGCACCGTCGGCGACAAGGCAGGCCACGCTGAGGAAAAAACGAAGACTTTGTATGGATCGTTTACAATCAGGATGGGCGGGCCCAGATTGAGTGCCGCGCGCGATGTGCGCCGCGTCCTATTCCTGCCACGCTTATCGCATCGTCGACGACAAGAAAGACGATGCTGAGGAAAAAACAAAGATTTTGTATTGATTTTTTACAGTCCGGATGGGAGGTCCCGGATTGGGCCGCTATCGGCCGGAATACGAGGTAGGTGGGGGTATATTCTGATAAGGAACAAGGATAAGGGTAAGGGTAAGGGTAAGGGTAAGGGTTCGGGTTCTACAAATCCCACCAGCCCTTTGGGCGTGAGTGGTTTAGCGAGCTCTCTCTGTTCTCAACCCCCCATCTTCCCCTTCGGGGAGGGGTAAACCGTTTACCCCTCCCCCTACCCCCTCCCCCTGGACCTGGACAGGGAGTCCGGGGCGTAGTCAGGGTGTTTTTTTTGTCTCCTGGGAGGGCCAAAAAACGACGACCCTCACGAGGATTCTGGCCCCGTCGGGGGGATACAGTTTGGCCCCTCTGCTCTTCTTTGAAACCAAAATCGCTGATTTTACCACGGTTTTGGCCCCATTTTGGCGTCCTGAGGGGGCCGCGCTCATTTCCTTCATGGCAAAATCATTGATTTTACGAAGGTTTTTGGCTCATTGTGTCCTTCTCAGGGGGCAGCGCTCCTTTGCGCTTCTGAGGAGGTCGCAAGAGGCCCCCAGATGGCCCCAAGAGGCCCCCAGGAGCCTCCCAAGAGGCCTCCAAGAGGCCCCCAAGAGGCCCCCAAGAGGCCCCAAGAGGCCCCCAAGAGGCCCCCAAGAGGCCCCCAAGAGGCCCCCAGAGGCCCCACGAGGCCCCCAAGAGGCCCCCAAGAGGCCCCCAAGAGACCCCCAAGAGGCCCCAAGAGGCTCCAAGAGGCCCCCAAGAGGCCCCACGAGGAGATGCCCCCAAGATGTCTCCAAGAGGCCCCAAGAGGCGCCGAAGACGCCCTCAGAGGCCTCCGACCAAAAGACATCTACTTCTACTTCTACTCCTACGACTACTACTACTACTACGACTTCGACTCCACGCCCGAACGACTCACACCAGGACGAGGCGCCCGAACGACTCACACCACGAGGAGCCCGAACGACTCACACCAGGACGAGGGCCCCGAACGACTCACACCACGAGGAGCCCGAACGACTCACACCAGGAGGAGGAGCCCGAACGACTCACACCAGGACGAAGGGCCCGAACAACTCACACCACGAGAAGCCCGAACGACTCACGCCAGGACGAAGAGCCCGAACGACTCAAACCACGACGAAGAGCCCGAACGACTCACACCAGGAAGAAGGGCCCGCACGACTCACACCAGGACGAGAGGCCCGGAGATATGCGGGGGCAGGCGGAAACACGCCTGAAAAACACGACTGTCGGCATGCTTCGCAAGAGTTGCTGTTTTGAGATGGGCTGGTGGGGATACGCGAAGCGTGAAGAATTCAATTAAAACCAAATAAGAGGGAATAGGAGTTCGATCGGAATCGTCCCAAGGAGCCACACAGAGATCGGCTACGAATACCAGAATTCTGATAGTACACGAAGGTGGGGTTCGGAAATCAACAATTTCGCCATTCGCCAATAAGAAAACACTACAGGGGCTATAGAGCCAATAGTACACGAAGATGAGGTTCGGAAACCCATTGATTCTAACAGTTCACGAAGATGGGGTTCGGAAGCCCACAATTGGGCCGTTCGCTAGAAAGAAAACAACACAAGGGCTATAGAGCAAATAGTACACGAAGGTGAGGTTCGGAAACCGATTGCGCAGGCGCCCTATTGGGCACCCAGCGCATGCGAATCGCATTGGCAACCCGACGCGCGGGAATATCATTGGGCATCCGCGGCCAACGGGGTCCAACTGACAACGCGCTGCGCGGGGAAACCTATTGGCTACGCGTCGCGCGTGCATGCTGTTTCACGCGCAAGCGGCGTCCGGGTCCGCGCGCGGCCGCCCGTCGCGCGTGCCCGCCGCACGCTGGCGCTGCCGCCTCACACGACGGAACCCCAGGGCGCGCGACTGGCGCAGCGCAGGAAGTGGTCTTTCTCACCCCTCTGCCCCCCGCCGTACTTCAAGGCAAGCAACAAACAAACAAGCAAACAGGGCGGCGGCCTTCGCTTCGCGCGCCCCGCCCTTCACGTCCTCCGCGGCGTCGGCGACATGAAACGGAGTCGCGGCCGCGCTCGGACTGCGAGCCCCCCGCGGCCCCCCGCCACCAGGGGGCGCGGACGACGAAGGCGGCGCGTGCTACGCTGACTGAATCGCAACAGGCGCGCGTGGACTAGCCCGCCTCTCGGCCTTCCCCTCCAGCTAGCTGCGGCGAGCCAGACTCGAGGGCGACGCGCACAAAAAACAGAGCGCTCCACGCCCCCCACATAAGCAAGGTGGGCGGCTCGGTCGGCCACCGTCCCACCCTCAGCAAAAAGGCAATGGAGGAAAAAGTCAGGCGCCTCGCGCGGGGGCACCGGCGACGACCTCCTCAAAGTCAGGCACGCCGGAGCCGCCCCAGGGCACTCGACCAGCGCATGCCGATCTCCACCGAAAACGGGCAAAGGCCAGGCGCCACTCATCCGGACGAGCGCCTAAGCGCGGAGGTCAGCCCAGAGCGCAGGTGCCCGCTCAACCCCAGCAAATCCACGAGCGGCCAAGACGGCGCGGGACAGACGGCCGCGAAGGAGAAGCCAAGGGCGGCAAGGATGGGCGCAGCCGCTTCCTGGCAGGCTGCGCGGTCATACCCCGGCATCGCAGGCCGCAACACCTGCCACGTATAGGCTTGGGCGAGCGCTCGACGCGCCTCGGGGCAGCGCTTCGCCGCGCCCACCGGGGCCCCGGCAAAAGCAGGGCGCTCGCTGATGGGCAGCGGGGGGGAAGGGAGTACGCGAGCCAGCGCAGCCGCGTCCGCCAGTCAAGACCTCACTGGCAGGTCCGCTGCGGCCGTGCCCACAATGGACGCTGGATGCCCCTCTGCGATCACATCGAAGCGAACGCGGGCCACGAGCGTCCGCTCCACGAACCTCGCCCCAAGGCGCAGATGCCAGCCGCACTGCGCCACCGAGACACTGCGGCGAAGGGGCGGCCCTTTCAGGCAGCCAAGCAGCTTCCTCGCCCAGACCCCCTGCAGCCTGTCGAAGGCTGCTTCGGTCCCCGGCGCCCCAGCCAACAAAGGGCAAGGATAGAGGATCGCAGACCCCACTCGAGGATGGACATGGGCCGTGGCCACGGGGATCGAAAATCCCCCCGCCAAGGCTGCTGCGAGGAGCCCGTCAAAAAGAACATGGCCGTGGGCGACACACTCGCGCAACAAAGTGAGACCTGCGTCGACCAGGGCACCGAGGAGCCTCCTGGCACCAACCACCGGACATAGTGCACCAGCTGGGACGGGCGCGCTCAGCAACGACAACACGCACGACTGTCCTGGGTCGTAGTTGGTGCATGCCTTGACCCTGCAGGCATACCTGTTGCATGCCGCATTCGGCTCATCACCCAGAACCCCTCGGACCGCGCCCTCCGAAGGACACGGAGCGGTGAGATCATCAACGAACTGACGAGGAGGCACCCTAAGGACTCGACAAACGCCACCCGGTCCGCCAACGACGGTACTCCCCGGAGGGCCGCGCACACGAACCAGCGCGCACACTGGCGCGGCGCTCTCTCCGCCGCCCGCGATACTTTTTTGATTCACGGCCCGCAAAGAGAAGTCCAGAGGGCGGAGTGACCGAGGCTGGGGCACAGCGACAGATAATTGGCGCGAGATCGCGCAGAGTGCACCTGCAGATAATTAACGACGTTGGACATGTGCCAGCAAAAGAGGCAACCGCGAAGGCACCAGCTGAAGCCTAGGTGCCACCGCCCCCCCGCGATACGCGCCGCCTCCCGCGCGAGGTCCGCCACCGGAAGGTCCCCCCGCGGGGGGAGGTGGGTCGCGGCAGGCGGCGACGTCTCCGACGCCTCGTGGAAAGAGCAGGCGGAGGCGGAGCATCGGCAGCGACAGGCGGGAAGAGAGGAGGGGGAGCCCCCGGGTCGGGGGAAGGCAGGAGGGAGGCAAAGGAGTAGGAAGAGATCGACGACGATGAGGACGACGATGACGACGACGACGACGACGACGACGACGACGACGATGACGACGACCACCACCATCACCATTACAACGACGACGACGACGACGACGACGGCGACGATGACGACGACCGCGGCCGCGGCGGCGGCGGCGCCGCACCGAGGCGGGAGAGGTCTCGTCGCCCACGAGCGCGCGCTCCCCGAAGAACTCGGTGGCCCCGGAGTTGGGGTCCCCGCACAGCTCCCGGGAGGACCCCTTGGGGTGCGCGCGCCGCCCTCCCGCCCTGCTAACGGCGTCGGGCGTCGGTGCTCCGTGCGCCGTCGCCCGTCGTCGGCCGTCCGTCGACGGTGGTCGGTCTCGTCGGTGGTGCACCTGCGGCCACGGCCGTCGGGCGCCGCGCAGGCCAGGAGGAAGAGGAGGAGGAGGAGGAAGAGAGGGAGGAGGAGGGGGAGGAGCAGGAAGGAGGAGGAGGAGGAGGAGGAGGAGGAGGAGGAGGAGGGGGAGGAGGAGGAGGAGGAGGAGGAGAGGAGGAGGAGGAGGAGGAGGGAAAGAGGAGGAGGAGGAGGAGCAGCAGGGGGAGGAGGAGGAGGAGAGGAGGAGAGGAGGAGGAGGAGTAGGAGGAGGAGGAGGAGTAGGGAGAAGGAGGAGGAGGAGGAGGAGCAGGGGAGAGGAGGAGGAGGAGGAGGAGGAGGAGGAGGAGGAGGAGGAGGACCAACATAGACCTAAGACGTCGGGCGTCGTCAACATCCGCCGCCGCCGTCGTCGTAGGTGTCGTTTGTACTCCATGCTCCGTCGTCCGCCGTCCATCGTCGATCGATCGCGGGTCATCGGTCGTCTGTCTCCATCGCCACCGCGTGAAATCACGCTGGCTGGCTTTCCCCGCTCCTGGCGCTCGGACACGGAAGTTTCGGGCCCCTGGCCCACCAGAAGCAGTCCGCGGCGGAAGCCAAAGGCAGCCCTGCGGGATGGTGGGGAAGCCAAAGGATCCCGTTGTCGCTCCAACTCCACGGGCATCTCCTGGGGTGCATCTATTCCGACATGTCGGTAGCAACTGATGCAAAAGCAACCAGGCACGATTGTACTTCTTCCCCCTGATAAAAATGCTAGGCGGCTTTATAACCCAAGCTGGGTATTCCTGACGAGCGACTTCACTAAGGCTAAGGCGAAAGGATACATGGGGAGAGATGATGCTGGCGGGATGAAACGCCCGCATCTGGCACCGCCGTGGCGACGAGGACTCCCCAGGACGAGCAGCGGTGCCGGAGCCCCATCCTCTGAGCTGGAGGTCGAGAGCTCCGCGGCCCAGGCCGTGGAGAGATCACGGAGCCGGAGGTCGTGGGCCTCGTCGGCGATCCGTCGCGCCGCGGCTCCCGCAGAGGGGAGCCCCCGAGGACGACTGACGACGAAGGAGCGTCGGAGGTCGATCGTCGAGCGTCGACGAACGTCGCCGTCGATCGCCCCGCGTCGTCGTCGCTCGTCGTCAATCGTCCTCGGCGCGGTCCAGGGTCGGCGACTCCGAAGGGTGTGGTTTGCAAAGGGTGTGGTTTGCAACCGGCACCCTGCGGGCCATCCTGGGGGGGGCGGGCGAGGGCCTCGACGGAGCTCTCCGCCGCGCCCCGAGGAGGCCCGACGAGGAGGGTGCCGTGCCCCCCGGGCCCCGACGGTGCCGATCGCAGGCCACACCCCGGCGTAACCGCACCCGTTGCAGGTCGCCGACGGGAGGCAGCAGGGCTCCACGGCTCGGGCTCCGGGCTGCTGTGACCCGCGGGGCCTCGGAGCCGCCGGAGCTCTGCACTGACTGCTGCTGCCGCGCCTGATCAGGTTGGGGAGCCACCGAAGCTTGAGCTTAGATGTTTTTGCTGTGCCTGGGCAGGCTTCGGAGCCACCGAAGCCTTGTAACACAGGATGTCTGCCGCTCCTGGCTAGGCTTCGGAACCACCGAAGGATTGAAATGGCTGTTCGCATAGTTTCTGGTATGGTCTCGCGTGCCCAAGTACCCAGCGGAAATTCGCTCGCTGCACATAGTTGCATGTAAGGATCCTCACCAGGAAGACGGATCTTAGTATACCGCTTCACCAAACGTTGAGTATCGTCATCGATGCCGCCGTGGTGGTGGCATGTATGGAAGAACTCACGTGCACGATCACAGGGGCGACAACAAGCGTGTACACTCGTAAGGGTTCCAAGTATATGCGTGCTTATACGCACACGTGGGTATACGTCCGTGTCTACGTGCGCGCGTGCGCGGGGGGGAGAGCATAAGCAGTCCTTGTTGTTTTTCTCTCTCTCTCTCTCTCCCTCCACGCCCACTCTAAAGGGAGCGAGCAAGGCTAGCGAAGCCCCACGCGCACGAGAGAGGCGAAGAAGAGCAGGAGCAGGAGCTCGAGGTGGGAGCGGGGAAGAAAGAGGCGCCAGCATCGAGCCCTCAACAACTGCCCGACGCTGCCCACGCGACTGCCAGCCGCCTCGCCCTCCTCACGGCGGGGGCCCGCCGCGACGACATCGGACCCGGTCCGTGCGACACCGCGCGAACCGCTGCGCCTCCAGCGACCTCCGCGCTCGGCCCCCCAAGAGGCTCTGGGCCCTGCCTCTCGGAAGGGGCCCCAGGACACACAAATAAATACACACAGATAAAGATATGCCCCATATTTTCCCATATTTTCTGGGTTTCCGTCTTCCCCCCCACTTCCCATATTTTCCCATATCTTCCGAGGAATCGAGGATCAATTGTGTCTGTGTGCTTTTTCCTCTCCTGACTCTCGCAGGGGCCCCGCGGCGCGGCCCATCTCCCGTGGGCCCCCCGGGGGGGGGGGGGCCCGAGGCTGGCCCGGGCGGGCGCGCTCCAACCTGGGCACCCGCGCGGGCTTCGCCGCCGCCGTCGACGCAGCGAGGGCCTGCTGGCCCCCGCCTCTGTTGGCGGCGCGCTCAAGGGGGGTACAGTCGGGGCGTTGACCTCAGGAACCCTACATAAGGAACGAGGCCCCTATTTCTCCACACGATTGAGCTTCGGTTTCCCCATGGAAAACCTGAGGAAAACCCAAGGCAAACTGCGAAACAACTAAGGAACACGGAGCCCCTCCCCAACGAGAAGGGGTCCTTCTTCAGGGCCCCGACTGTAGGGGGAGGGGAGGAGGTTTCCCTGAAGCCAGCTGCTTCTGAGAAGGCGCGGGCCCTACATCTACAAACGAGGCCTGCGCCTTCTGAGAGGCAGGGGTGCTTCCAGGAAGCCTTCCCCCCCCCCCTACCCCCTTCTGCCTGTGGCTGACTCTGGCGATAGCGTGTAATCACGGCCTGCTGGCCGTCGACGTACATGGAGACCCGGCCGTCGTACAGCACGAAAAAGCTGCGGACTTCTTCCCCCTGCCGGATGATATACTCGTCCTGGGCTGGGGCAGGGCGGAAAGGGAAGACGAGGAGCACTCGCCAGCCCACCGGGCCAGAGGCGTGCCAAGATCTCTGGCAACAGGTTGACAGTCTTTCTGGTTCGCGCGCGCGGCGCCGCCCCAGGAGGGGTCCCTGGGCGACGAGCACCCTGGGCGGACCCTGGGCGGGCCCCGGGCGATGGTCCTCACGGATGCCGGAAATCTCCAGGGGCGGTCCTCGGCCCCGAAGAGCGCCCCCAGAGCGCTCCGAGGGACCCCAAGAGGTCACTCGAGTCGGGATTCATGGGTGGCAGGTTCCAGGATGCCCTCCACACACTCCTATGAGGCTTCGAGTGCCTCCAAATGGTCAAATACAGCTGCCAGCGGCCCCCCGAAAGGCCGAAAATCATGGATTTCGCCCAGGCCTGACCGCCCAAGACGGCCCAGTCAGCCCGCAAGATTGCCGCGCGGCAGTTCAGGTCAAGAGGTTACCAGAGGGGTCACGAGACGGCCCCAAAGGGCCCCACGAGGGCCCCAGAAACCCCCCAAGAAGCCTCCAAAGCCCTCAAGCGAGTCCGAAGAGAGGGGACCCGAAGTGAAAGTTCGAACCCTTTCCCGACAGATGGCCCCCCACACCGCCAGTAAGCCCCCAAGAGGGCCCCAAGAGACCTTCAAGAGGCCCCCCAGACAGCCCCAAGAGGCCCCCGAGAGGCCCCCAAGAGGCCCCACGAGGCTCCAAAAATGCCCTCCCGAGCACGCAGGCAAGTGCCAACGACGCTACAATGAGCCCCCAAGAGGCTCCCAAAACGGCCCAAGAGGGCCCCAAGGGGAGTCTAAGAGGGGCCCAAGAGAGGGGACACAAACAGCCATTTCGAGCCCTTGGCCCCGAGACGCCCATGGCTGCTCACGCGACACTTCAAGGGAACTACCACCACCCAGCAGGGCCGCCATGGCAACGAACACGCCGCCGCGATGGAATAGTCTGGGCCGGCTAAATGAGCGAAGCGATCCGCCACCCCACTGGGGACGGCGTGTGAGATTCCCACCGCATGGTCTGCACGCACTCTCTCCGCTCAATCCTCTGACCTGCGCACTCCTTGTACCCATGCCCTTCCTCAGAGCCCTAGCAACCCCTCCTGGGGTCCTCCCCGCGGCCTGCTCATTCCGCTGGCCCCAGAGCCCCGATTGCACAACGGGCCTCCGCTGGCCATCATTTTGCCTTCAACTCACGCAAGCCTTCGCACGGGAGACTTCCAGACGCCTTCGGGCGCCGTTTGGGACCTCTCCGGGGGCCCTCCTTGGCGGTATATGGAGCCTCTTGGGGTCATTTGGCCTATGTTTGGGGACCTCCGGGGCCGTCTCGGACCTCTCCAAAGCCCTCTTCGTTCCGCCGACAACCTCGAGAAGCTAAAAACCGTGAAAAGATCGAACGGTTCTTGATCATTCTTGCCATTTCGACTTTCTCTTCCCGCCTTGTGGTGCTCTCTTGGGGGCCTCTTCTGACACTCTCGGGGCCTCTCGGGTCGCTTCGGAATATCCTCCCGCCGCCTTCAGCCCTCCTCCTCCTCCTCCTCCTCCTCCTTCTCCTCCTCCTCCTCCTCCTCCTCCTCCTCCTCCCCCTCCTCCTCCTGCTCTCAAGGCCTCGCAGAACCAGCTCGGCTCGTCTGGCCGCCTATGGGGGGGCCATCTTGGCCCGCCCGGGGCGCGCCCAAGGGGACTTCGGGGACCTAAAATTGACTGGTACTACGCTCTTTGCCCTCCTCGTGTCCCTCTTCAATTTCGTTTCCAGTTTTGCCAACCTGTCCCCGGCTACCGTTTCCCGAAGAGGGCATGGGCCCAGGGTTCTCCTTTAGCTGGAAATATGTAACCACTGCCATGCTTGAAGAAGGATCACGGGTTCATGTGCGATCAGTATAAAGGTAAAGTCCCATTCTAGATTGACTAAATGCGTTTCGCGCGTGCCCGCTAGAGGAAAAAGCGCCCCCCATCTCTGATCCTCGTTGTTTTATGGGGTCCGCGGACCTTGATTCTCTTGCACAGGGTGTCTAGACCTCCGACCACTTTATTCTGCGTCACGTCGCATTCCCTCCCCGCTCCCGTTCCCTTCCCTCCCCAACGGCCCAATGGAACCACCACCCAATGCCCCCTCCGCCCCGACCATTTTATTCCGCGTCGCGTCGCCCCCCCCCACTCCCCGCTCCCCTCTCCCCCTTCTCCCCAGCGTTCCCCAGCGGCCCACTGGAACCTCCGCCCAGTGCCCCCTCCGCCCCGACCACCTTGTTCCGCGTCGCGTCGCACCCCCCTCCCCAGCTTTCCCCAGCGGCCCACTGGAACCTCCGCCCAGTGCCCCCTCCGCCCCGACCACTTTGTTCCGCGTCGCGTCGAACCCCCTTCCCTGCCCTTCCCCAACGTTCCCCAGCGGCCCAATGCCCCCTCCGCCCGACCACTTTATTCCGCGTTCGCGTCGCCCCCCCTGGCCAGCGTTCCCCGGCGTCCCAATGGAACCCCCGCCCAGTGCCCCCTCCGCCCCCGACCACGTTATTCAGCGTCGCGTCGAACCCCCTCCCTGCCCCCACCACCCCCCCCAGCGTCCCCAGCGCCCAATGCCCCCTCCGCCCCGACCAATGCGGCGCGGCGCACCCCCCCCCCAGCGTTCCCAGCGCTCACTGGAACCTCCGCCGAGTGCCCCCCTTCGCCCCGACCACTTTTTTTTCCGCGTCGCGTCGCACCCCCTCCCCGCCACCCCCCCTCCCCAGCGTTCCTAGCGGCCCCGTGCCCTCTCCGCCCGACCACTTTATTCCGCGTCGCGTCGCACCCCCCCCCTCCCTGCCCCCCCCCCCCCTCCCCAGCGTTCCCCGCGCCTTCCCGGCGGCTTCTTGAACCGTCATGAGTGCCTTTGTGGCCGTTTAGTAGCAGTCTTGGGCTGTCTTCGAGCGCTCGTGGCCCGTCCGGAGGCCATCTCAGCGCGCTCTTCAGCCATTTTCCAGACAACCTGGGGCGCTTCGGGAGCCTCTTGGGCCAGCTTGGGGGACTCTGGGGGGGTCTGGGGCCTCTTCTGGGCCCTCTTGGAGCCCTCAAGGCCCCCCGGACCGCCATGCAAACCAGTGGCGCAGGTACTGGGCCCTTCCCCAGTCTACTCCGCTATGTGTATATATATATATATATATACACACATACATACATACATACATACATACATACAGACAGACAGACAGACAGACAGACAGACAGACAGACAGACAGACAGACAGACAGACAGACAGACATACATGCATACCTACCTACCTACCTACCTACCTACCTACCTACACACACACACATACATACATACATACATACATACATACATACATACATACATACATACATACATACATACATACATACACACACACATACATACACACACCTACATACATACATACATGCATATATGCATACATGCATACATGCATACATGCATACATGCGTACATGCATACCTGCATACATGCATACATGCATACATACGTGCACACAGACAGACAGACAGACAGACAGACAGACAGACAGACATATGTATATACATATGTGTGTATCTGTGTGTGCAAATGTGCATATGCATATATATATATATGTATAACTATGTACGCGTATATATATACATATATACATGTACATGTATATATACATGCCTTTAAATACATACGTGCGCACAAACATACATACATATATATATACATATATAGATACATACATACACATAATGCAGGCATACATGCATGCATGCATACTTACATACATACATAGACATGTACGTAAACGTATACATACAAGTATATAGACTCCTCTGACTATCCATATACATATGCAACCACATATACAAATACATAAACCTTACATATGCAACTCAATTACATACACATAGACATATGCATTATGCCTGAGCAACTACATGTCGGCATGCATGTGCATAAACATAGTCATAAACATAGGCAAATACACATAGGTATACATATGTGTATATGTATATGCATATGTATCTACATTTACATAAACACAAATATGTACAATTACATACACCATGCATACATATTTACATACACATACACATTTTACATGAACATGCAAATATACCTATACACATATGTATAGATGTCCATATAGATATACACGTGCATATATATATATACTGATATACATATATACATATAAATACACCCACGATTAGCCCTAAAGCCATGCATGACACATATCCACATATAAACATATATACAAACATACCAACATACATACGTACACACATATGTACATCTACATGTACACACTCAATCTGTGTGGTGCGATATACGTGGAGCAATCTACGTGGTGCAATTGACCCTGCCGAATCTGAAAATTACAACTCCACTGCCCACAATCACCCACCCACCCACCCGCATCTTGGTTTGCAAAAGCCATGCGGCAGCGATTGCGATGACAACGTGGCGCTGGTTGGTACATCGCAGCGGCCTCGCTACCGCGCGCAAGGTCGCGCGCAGAGCGGCCGCCTAGTCTGGCGTGACCGACGCGGCGCGGTGGCGCTGACAGCTCAGGAGTTCCCGGCGCGTCTCGCAGGCCGCTCCGACGCGCGGCCACTTCAGTGCTGGTCGATGGTTCGGGAGGACGCGGTATCTCGGCGACGTCGACACTGGCAGTCACGATGATGGTAGTTGCGATGCAGGTGACGATAATGACAATAACAGCGGCAAGGCCAATAACGGCGCCGAAGCTGATCACGCCGATGACGTTCATGGCGTCCATGCGTCGGTGAGGAAGTTGGGTCGGTTCCGACATGCGCACGCAGCCGACGCGCGCGAGTGGCCCGCATGGTGCTATTTGACAGCGATCGCACCCCCCCCGCACGCGCGCAAGGGCGTTCGAATGATTCCGATATGCGCGCGCGAGAGGCCCGTTGGGTCGCATGTGATGACAACGGTGGAAAAAACACTAATTGTTTAAAAAAATCGCAAGAGCGCGCACGCAGACTGCTTTGAAAAAAACCTGCTGCGAAGCCAATGATTGCCTATACGCTTTCGAGACAATCGATTTTAAAATCCTTACGAAACCTGTGGTGTTCGAACGATTCTGGCATGCGCGCGCGACAACGCAAGCGTGTGGCCTTCGTCCCTTTTTGTTGCAAGGGTTTCTTGCGAATTGATTGCGTTTGATAAGCCAATGTGCGCGCATTCTGGTTTTTGACGGGGATGGGGAAGGGATCGATCCCAGCCTGGCTGGACGGATGCGAACCCATACTTCGAATGAACGATTGGGCAAAACCATCTGTACACTGCACATCCCCAAAGTGGACGGATACGCCAAGCCTCGGAAGGGCGGTGGATCCTAACTCTCGCTTAGAAGAGGAAATTAATGTTGAAGAGTTTGGACATGTCAATTCCACTGCTCGCGCAATGACCCACCACCCACCCGCAACTTGGTTTGCAAAACACTTGCGGCGGCGTTTGGGCTGACTGGTTGACGATGGCTGGAGCATCTCTGTGGCCGCACAACTGCGCGCAAAGTCGAGCACACAACGGTCATAGGTTGGCACAACCGACGCGGCCGCGGTGGCGCTGACCGATGGGCACTTCCTTGCGCGTCTCGCAGGCCGCGCTGGCGCGCGGGCGGTTCAGTGCGGATCGTTGACTGGGGCTGGTGCGGTATCGTGGTGACATCGGCAACGGCAACCACGACGATGATAGTAGCGATGACGGTGAGGGTGACGACGATGCTGACGGCGAGGCCAATGACGGCGTCGAAGCTGGTCACCCCGGTGACGATGACAATGTCCATGCGTCGCTGATGAAAGGTTTCGAAAATATTTCGACATGTGCGCGCAACCAACGCGGGCGCGTGGCCCACATGGAATGATTTGACAGGAATCGTGCCCAGCGGGGGGCCGCCTGGCCTGATTTGACGAGAACGTTGAAAGACCTATGGCTGTCCTAAGAAGTCGCGAGAGCGCGCGCGCACATTTGTTTGAACCATCAGGTTGGCCGAGAAAACAAAAACAAACGAACAAAAAGGCTCTCGGGAACCTGGATCTTCAAGTCCCTGCTACGAAGCCTGAAGTTTTTGAAAGAGCTTGGCATGTGCGCGAAACGACGCGCGCGTGTGGACTTTGCCAAATGTCTTGTACGGGCTAATTGAAATTGATGACTTGTTATAAGCAAAAGACCCATATTCTATATGATTTGACAAACAATGGGGGGTCGATAAGCGGACTCACTGGGATGGTACGAGTTCGAATGTAAAATCAACAATGTCACAGGGGGGTCCGATGAGACCCGGCGGGGCGGGGGGTAGAGTCCACATTCCTTGTTAGAAAAGAGAGAACAGATGGCGTGCTAGAGATGTTGCGCAATCTATGATGCGCAATCCAGCCGCTTGGATTGCAACGAGGAGCGCGGGGGTGCAACGGAGCGGCGGCCACGGGCGGCGGCGAGGCAGCGACGGGGCGGCGACGGCGGCAACAGGGCGGCGGACCCGACAAACGAGCCCAGGCGACGGGCACGACGAACCTGCGACGGGGCGGCGACGGCGGCAAGACGGAAGCGGATCCGAGACACGAGCCCGAGCGACGGGCGGCGACGGGGCGGCAGCACGGGCGGCGGACCCGACAAACGAGCCCAGCTCCGCTGAAAACAGGTGGGCAGACCCAAATGCAACCACAGTTTCGGGAATTCGGGAGTCCGCACCGACTCCCCGAATCGGCGCTGGACTCCCCGTGGCGGCGCCTCCGGCCTCGCTCCTGGCGAGCTTCGCGCGCCAGCCAAAGGGGGAGTCCACCGCCGCCCAAAGAGATCTGCGCGGACTTCAACGACATGGGGCTATATGCCGTTCGCTCGATGACAAAGAGAGAGGAGGTCAGAACGAGACAGTTCCAACGGTCCTTGCTGAAGGTCATCTCTGTGAGGACCTCTGCCAGCTTCTCTCGGCAGGCGTCCTGCAGCTGCTGGGTCTTGCCCAGCACCTTCACGTATTCCTCGACGCGTTGCCTTGCACTCTGCATCGCTACGCAACGCATCAATCGAAAGTATGGCAGAGTCCGAACCAAGCTGTCAATACTCAGTCTATATGGCGAGATCCTTGCAGTCAGAATTTGCTCGGAACAATATGGGGGAAGATGCTGATACTTGTGGCAGTTCGAAGGGCTCCCCAACGTTAGTGCACTCCTATGGGGCGTGCCTCTGCCTACCTCCAGAAAACGCACACCCGCTATGAAAAATGCCGTCGGCCTGCTGTGAGAATGATACTGACCAGGGTGCCCAACTGAATCAAAATGCGGCGGCGGAAACCCCAAGAAACACACACACACACACACACACTTTTTGAGCCCGCGCGAGGCGACGGGGCGTAGAAGGTCCGGCAAACAATGTAGCGCGCGCGTCTACGCCCAGCCGAGCACTCAAAGACCAAGTAGGGCCTCGCAGCATCCAGCACCCATAACCATCTGGAGATGAAACAACTGTGAGGTGGACGGTGGCATAGGCCAACTGGGACCTGAAGGACAAGGGGCGCGCCAAGGAACGGCAGGGAGAGTGAGTGCAGGCGGCGAAACCGGAAAAAAAAACGCAGGCTGAAGAAGCGACGAACAGCGGGCGGAACTGGACGGCGCGCCAGAAACGGCGGCGGCCGAGAGGGCGTCCCCCCGCCAGGGGGGTGCCCGGCAGTGAGCGGGAAAGGTGGGCGCGGAGGCGGCCAGAAGGCGGAGATCGGCGAAGCGGCCCCGGGACCGCAGCGGCAGCGCAGGGGCGCAGAGGCCACTCCCAGCCAGGACGGGTCGAGGATGACCCGCTGCCCCGAGGGGGGAGGCACGAAAGGGCACGGCGGGGCAGAGGCCAAGCGGAACCACCTGGAAGAAGAGCGGGAACGCGCGCGGGCGCACCACTCGGGCAGCGCCGGCCGCAGCGAAGGCGAGACCCAGAACTGAAAAGAAGGGGGAGCCCGGTCACCGTCACCTTCACGTCCCAGCCGCTCCCGCGGTGGCAGGGTCCGCCCAGTGAGGACTGGGGCCGCGGGAGGGTTCCCAGGGGGAGACCCCGGCAGGGCCTACCTGAGGGTAGCGGAAGCGCTACCCCAGGCGGGGGGGCAGGGAGCGAGTGCGACACGGCAAGCCCAGCGGGGAAGGGGAGGGCGAAAGCAACGTGCGCAAACCGACCCACCAGCCGGGGCAAGCACAGAGGCAGAGCACGCCGAAGCCCCACGTGCCGGGGGGGCCCGCAGCAAGCCTCACCGCCGCCTCCGTGAATTGCGCTGGTGAAAAGTGCGGGAGGTGGGCCGCTTCCTCATGACAGGGCCGCGCGCACACACACACACACACACACACACACACACACACATGCACACATACACACACACACACATACACACACGCATACATACACATACGCACGCATGCATGCACGCACGCACGCACGCACGCACGCACGCACGCACGCACACACACACACACACACACACACACACACACACACACACACACACACACACACACGCGCGCGCGCGCACACGCGCACACACACCCACACAAACACACACACACACAAACACGCACTTTTCGGCGGTCGCGGCCGCGCGCGCAACGACGAGGCGGAGCACCTCGGAAAGCGGCGAGAGCGGGCCCGCGCGGCTGTGCCCTCAGGCGGGATCGCTTGGGATCGCCGCACATGCCCCCTCGGGAGCAGCAGCCATAGCCGTACGGGCGAGGATGGCGAGGAGGAAAGAGACACTGCCCGCCACGGGAGCGTCCCACGCGGCGGTCGCCACGCACACGCACACACACACACACACACAGACACACGCACAGACAGACACACACAATAACAACAACAACAACAACGACAACAACAACGACAACAACAACAACAACAACAACAACAACAACAACAACAACAGCAACAACAACAACAAAAACGACAACAACCACAACCACAACCACAACAACGACGGCAGCAGCAGCAACAACAACCACCACCACCACCACAGCAACAACAACAACAACAACAACAGCCGCAGCAGCAGCAGCACCAACAACAACAACGACAACAACAACAACCGCAACCACAACCACAACAACAACAACAACAACGACAACAACAACAACAACAACAACAACAATCACAACAACAACAACAACAACGACAACGACAACGACAACGACAACGACAACAACAACGACGACGACGACAACAACAACAGCAACAACAACAACAACTACAACTACAACAACAACAACAGCAACCACAACATTAACAACAATAACAACAACAACAGCAGCAACAACAACAACAACAACTTGTTGGCGTGGCGGCCCCGCGCGCAGCGACAGGGCGTCGAAGGGTCAGAGAGCGCACACACACACATACACACACACACACACACACACTCGCGCACACTCACACACTCTCACACACACGCGCACACGCACACGCACACCCGCACCCGCACACACACACTCACAAGAGCACGCACGCACGAACGCACACACACACACATACATATATATATATGTATACATACATACATACATACATACATACATACATGCATACATACATACATACATGTATATACTTGTTTGGCGTCGCGACCCTGCGCGCAGCGACAGGGCGGAGATGAAAAAGCAGGAAGCGCGAGTAAGAAACTAGAAGCGACCCGAGCCCTCGAAGACCGCTTTGGATCTCGCAGCCACCAACAGCCATAAGCCATCCGGGCGCGGATGGCAGAGGGGACGGTGGGTAGACGAAATTACAGTGCGGTGCAGGTGACAGGGCGGGGGGAGCGGGTAAGCATCGTGGAGCGACCTGGAAGCCCACGAAAGGCTGGAGAACACGAGCCTCCGAGAAGAAGATGCCAAAGCCAGCCAGGGCAGGCAGGTCACAAGAAGCAAGGAGGTCGAAGCAGACCTGGTAATGACGGCGGCGAGGGGCCACAAAGGGGCTGGCAGCAGCGCTACGGCGCCAGCCAGTCTGGCGGCGGCCATAAAGGGCGGCGGCTGGAAAAGAGGCCAGCGCGGCCCCGACATATCCCCGTCCGCGAGGGGGGTCAGAGAGAGGGCGGGCGGAAGCCAGCCCGGGAGCGTGAAAGCGGAGAGGCCAACGGGGGGACAGCAGGAGAGCGGGGCGTCAAAGGGAAGGGGTGGCAGATGGGCGGCACTGGCCAAGCGGGGCTTGGAGGAAAGCGCGAGCGCACCTGGATGCCCACGCCGAGACAGGTTGGCCATAGCGCAAGGAGACGGCCCAGAACAAGGCAGCGCAGAGCGCAAAAGCACCTCCCAGAGAGAGGTGAATCCCAGCACACACACGAAGCCGCACCTAGACGGCGCATTGGCACGGAAATACTGCGAACTCGCACATGCAGGAACAAATATCAAAAATGAATACGCTATGCAGGGGGGACAGGTGTGCAATCACCAGCAGTCGTTGTCTTTGGTGATCCGCTGTTCGGGAACCTGCAAGCGAAGGGCGCCATAGAGGAGGGGGCGGGGAGGGGGGAGGGGAGGAAGGGGGAAGAGGGAGAATAGGGGCACAAGCAATCAGCTAGAGGGCGCAGCGCTGCCTGACTGCCGCGTGCCAGTCTGAAGGATTATGTAGCAGAGCTTGTAAAGTGCCAGGGTCGTTGCCCGCCACTGCCAGGGCCTCAGCGTGTAGGTACGTCGTCAATTGTATCCGGGGGCGCCCCCTCGATCTCCGGGACTTCCAATCTCGAGGTATACCAGAATGTGTTTGACCAGCTTGGAACACCATTTGTCTCGGTAGACTGTTGGTGCTGTCCCGGGCCAGTTTGCCATATAGTTTGAATTGTCTGTCCAACAGAATCGATGTCAAAGGCGGGACGTCCGCACGCTCACGTACTTCAGCGTTGCTCACGTGAGACAACTAAGCGGGAATAATTTTCAAAATTCGTCGTAGACATCTAGCTTGGAAGCCATCTATCCGATCTCTGTCTGCTTTGAGGAGCATGCACGACTCGAGCCATATAACAACTTGGAGAAGACACACGATTCCAATATCTGTGTTTTCCGCTTTTTGGTCAAATTGGCGTGATTCCAAACAGTACATAACTTTTGAAATCTGCACTTTGCTTCTCCCAGGCGCCGCGCAAGCTCTGCTCGTGGTCTGCCGTCTGTGCTTACGAGGCCACCCAGATAAACAGCATTGTCCTTGATCGCAATTGCTTTACCATCCGGCCAAAAAATAATTCCATCAGACCGTATCCTGAGTATTACTGTTTTGTCTGAGTTGAGTTCCAAGCCGTACTGCTTCCCAATTTCTGCCACCAGATTGAGATGCGCTTGAAGCGCGCTAGGGTCAGTGGCCACGAGCATCGCGTCGTTGGCGTAGAGCACATCTTTCGTAATCACATATGGTTTGGATGGTCTATCAGGCCTTTCCAAATTCAGGCGTCTGTCTACACTCTCCAAGATGATGGTCATGACAATGATGAACAAGTACGGAGACAGCGGGCAACCTTGCGCAATACCAACGGCCTGCGTCCATTTGGAAGACGTCGCACCCCCATCTTGCACTAAAAACTTACGGACCTTGTAGATGCCCCTGACCATCTCGACCATCGCAATCGGCACCCCAACCTGTTGCAGCCCTTGTAGAAGACCTTTTGGGCTTATCCGGTCAAATGCTTTACCCCAGTCCAAAAGGAGCAGCAGTAATTTGGCAGCCTTGTCTTCCAGCGCTGCGTCAATCAACCTTCTCGCCAGAAGCAATGCCTCGCTAGCCCCGCGTCGTGGTCTGAAGCCGTATTGAGATTCACGCAACGTCTTTTCAGCTCCTCCATGCTTGAGTCGCTGTAGCAATATGCTGGCGAATATATATTGTATCCCACTGCTAACAAAAGAGATCGGCCTATGGCAGAGAAGTATCGCCCTCCTTAAATATGGTTACAACGGATGCTTCTCTCCACTCTTCGGGGATGTCTTTCTTTTCCCAGCACGCATTACATAAAGAAGTCAAAATCTCTAAAACGCTAGCGCTTTCCA